CGCTCTTCCAGCCCCAAGCACCGTCTCCTCCCTTCGCACAGGAAGAGGATTCTAGGAACTCTGCAAACCACTAAGCACGGCAAACTGCTGCTGTTGCTACCACGCCACGTGAAGACAAAGGGACGTTAGAAGGCTCTTTGGAGCAAAATGCATGTATTCCTCTTTTAGAAGTGTATTTTTTCCTTTGCGGAAAGGTGAAAATGAAGTCTTTTTTGTAAACCAAGCACTTCATTCTCCTGGAGAGCCTGGTGGCAAGGATGTATGTATTATTAAAATGGCTGCGTAGGCACCGCCAGCTCGATTGATAACTGGGTTTCTGTTCCTCCCCTCCACATTTTGGTGCTTGAGAAAAGTTCTGGAACAACAGTCACACATCTGACTCAGACCAGAGCTCAAAAATAACACGACTGGCTTTCTGGCATCTTTATTTCCAAGATGCTCTCACAGGATATTATCCTAATAAAGGATAATATATGCCTTTAGGACTATACATTGTGTTAGGATAATTATCCTAATAAAGGGACCATCCATACATCTCTAACCAGGACTTTAGAGCTTGCCAGGAGCTAGCTGAATAATGGAAAGTCCATTTTCCTCATTTCTACCACACACACACACAAAAGTGCCTCTATTTGGGCAGCATTATTTGCAGCCAATTATTCTGCCATTCCCAGTTATGCTCCAGGGAGCCATACTGCTTCTCCAAAGAGCTCCGCAGCTGTTCATTAGGTTGGTCTCCCAGCTCCTTTTGCTTGCACAACGTTCACCCTGCAGTGCCAGATAACAGCAGCTTTAAGTGCTGTCTGTTGCTCTGTAGCTCCCTCGTAAGGTTTTGGAATGTGTCCCAAGCAGGGAAAGATCAGAGAGCTTTTGAGGCCTGGATTAGGATATAAAATGCCACGGTTTATCATAGCAAAGGAAGGGTGGAGTGGAAGAACTGGCATACTGAGAATGCCCCCTCAGGGAGAAAGCTTGAGTATCGCTGGTGCACCAGGACGCTGCCACGTAGCAGCATTTGAGAGGTGAAAGCCATGGCTTTGTGAACATATTCCGGCGACTGCACTGTTCTTGGATACACATTCTTCCATGGCAACGACTCCATCATTTGCCTCTAAAACCACATCCCTGACACGCCTGCGCTGGGATTACTAGGACTGCAAATTGGGGTAGTGTCACTTCTGTGCAGCGTTTAAAGCCACTGAGCACTGGGCTTCGACTGATGCTGAGCCAGGCGCGTGCGGGCATTCGCGTGACCTGTCCTCCCAGGGCTACGGCTGACTCTGTGCCACCCCCCAGCTTGCACACTCCTAAGTAAAGCACATTCACACACATGGTCTTGCAGACACAAACCAAACCCACAGAGGCTCAAAGCACAGAGCTAGAGCACAGCTCCACCTACACCTTTCTACAGAGTCCATAGTGCCACCAGTCATGTCACTTCCAGGGGAATGAGGTGATGGGAAACTCCATCTCTGAGGATAACAGAGGTGATGAAGTGCGTAGACCACCAGAACCCAGCTATACAATGTACAACCTGCATATTTTGACCATCAGCTTTCCAGTATCTGAAGGGCCTACAAGGGTGCTGGGAGAGGACTTTTTACAAGGGCCTGTAGTGATAGGACAAGGGGTAACGGGTACAAATTGAAATCAGGGAGGTTTAGATTAGATATCAGGAAGAAATGCTTCACAGAGAGGGTGGTGAGGCACTGGAACAGGTTGCCCAGAGAAGCTGTGGATGCCCCATCCCTGGAAGTGTCCAAGGCCAGGCTGGATGTGGCTTTGAGCAACCTGGTCTAGTGGAAGGTGTCCCTGCCCATGGCAGGGGGGTTGGAACTAGATGATCTTTAAGGTCCCTTCCAACCCAAACCATTCTATGATTCTATAATTGCCATAGGGAACTTAAGGCTCTCTTCAGATTTTCAGGCTCTTCATAGCAAGCCTGCTGAGTTGATAATATGTTCTTTAATTAAAAAATAGCCCTGTAACTGTGGCCTGAACCCCTAAGAGTCAGAATGCACTTCCATCTTAAATTACCCCAGCAAAAGAGCTTTAGCCAGCAGACAAATACTTTTGTGAATACCACATTTACCAGCAGAGAGGCAAGTTTCATTCAGCAAGCTCTAAACCACAGCACAGCCTGTTCCATTACAGCATCATCAGGTTAACTTACTTTAATTGAAGCCAATTAAGATCCTCTTCACCCTAAAGAGGATAAATGTAAGCCTTTTACTTCAGCTCAGCAGCACTCACAGATCATCCCAGCACCTCAGAACAAGTGATGCATCCCAACAGGTCTGAACCCAACTTCCCTAAGCACTCATTCAACTCTGTGAGAGCCGGTAATCAGTTTTGGGGCTGGGCTGGGCTTTTCTCTTCTCCCATGTGGTCCTGGTGAATAGGTGCTACGTGCTGCTAACGAAAGCCTACCGAAGATCCTCCAGCTGCTAGAGTTTTGACCCTGAGGAGCCCCACTTCAAGTGTAAGAGAAGGTAAAGGCTAGGTTGGAAGCACTGGGCTGCAATCCTCAAATGCTTCAGGACAGCTGGTTCCCCTCCGTCGCACGTCAGAACGCAACGTGTCCAAGGACAGCCCTTACAACGGGCGCCAGGCTGCCGGCCTCCGCCAACAGGAAACACTGAGGACAAGGCTGTTTCCTAATTCCTGCTCCTCTGAGAGTTTTGGAGTTGGCTGTTAGGAATACCCCCCTTTCACAGTCACTGTCGCTGGAGCTTGTCTTTAATCAGCCTTTAAAAACAGCAGGAGGAGGATTGTCATTCGCAGGCTCCGTGCTTGCCAAGTGGGAGAGCCGAAGGTGCGGTTGAGGCTGGGACATTGCCACCATACCAGGGGATTCGAGGTCCCCTATCACAGGGAGGGCAGTAACCCTGCAATAGCTCAGGTGGGAAGGGTCCTCGCAGTCCCCTTCTCTCAGCTGAAACTGAAATATTCCCCAATAATTAAGTACGCTTATGATTCTTATTACATTTAATGTTCTCTAAGCGGTGTGCCTTGATCCTCTGTATTTTTTAAATAGGGTTTGAATGTATCTTCTCCTCCGCTGTGTTCTGAGAACAAGGCTGTGGATATTCGCTTCTCCAACCTAAACCGTAATACAGGAAACAGAAGAGGCCAGAAGGCACAAGGGTGGAGGCTGCGGGGAGCAGCGTGGGGGCTCGTACTGCTTCAGGACGCCCCTGGAAATCACTGATCCTGCCACATATTGGACCCACGTTCAGTGAGACTTCCTCTCTGCCTTGTGGTTTTCACGGGGGCAAACGTGGCACCGAACGTGCCGTGAGACTGCGGGCTCGTCAGGCCCCCAGCTAGGAGGGGGTGGGCAAACGCCCGCTGGCAGCACCAGCCAGCTGGTAGGAACCCGGTAAACCTTCGACGTGCGCGAGCTGCCGACGCACGCGGCCCCTTCAGCGCGGTACTCCTGGGGGGCGGCAGGATTGCACAGGCGTCACCATGGCCAGGAAGCAGCCAAATGCTGACGACCTGACAACTGCAGCTTCCAGCTGCACACCCAGAAGGCTAGTTAGGTGGCTGTGTCCGAAGGCGTTTTGTGTACTGGACCTTGAGGATCCCCCCAGGCATGGGAATCGCTCCCGCTGAGGGTATGTTCTGCTGCACCTGCATTTCTGCCAGTTGGTGTGAAGTCCCTCCACATGGGACGGTCCCTCCCAGGTGTGTTCCCCAGCTGTTAGCTTGGAGACTGCTGGGGCACAGAACCCACTACTTATCTCTCCGTAAAACAAACTTCGAAGCACGACCTAACTTAAGTGCTTACCTGCAGGGGAGGCTGCACAGCTGGACATGCCAAACTCAAAGAAGCAAAACAGCCATAAAGCACCTGCCTCATTCCTGGGGCTCCTTCCTCCGCTGGCTTCTGAGGAGCCTGCACATCTGTCCAGAAGCTGCAGTCTCCAGCAGTGAAGCAGGGTAGGAGCAAACACTGAGCTAACGTTTTCCAAAAGGCCAAGACGTGAGGCCAAAAGAACTTAAGTATCAGAAGTGGGGCCATGAGCCTAGATACATTATCAAAGCCTGGGGAAGAGCTGGCAAATGCTGGGGTCAGCAGCGCTGGTGCAGAGCGAAGGCAGAGATTCCCTGAGCATCTGGGCCAAGTGCAAGACAACACTGACGACCGGTCTCTGCTGAGCAGCTCGGGAGTTACCGCCTGCCTGACTCTCCTCCAGAGATGGAGTGACCTGAAGTAGCTCTTTCCTCACTGTAAAAACATCTGATCACAAAATTTACCATGCCATCAGCATTTCTACTTCAGTATCATGTGCATCATTCCTCTGTAGAAGCACTGGCACAGCTCTGACAACCCTACGTTATCGCGGGGGAGAGTCAAAGAGCTGGGATGAGAAGAGCTGCAAGGTTCACACTCCCCAAACATCAAACCTGATTGACAGTTTAGGCGTGATTGTCTTTCTTTAGAGAATATAAATATATAATGAGGATTTCCACTGAGAGGCCAGATCTTTATTTATTTAGGAAACAAGTTAAGTGGAATTCTGCTGGAATCTCTCCATTCAACAGATGGTCCAGGCGTTGACAGTGCACAAAATTCTTGGAAGCGCCACATTCAGAGCGAATTAACATGGCCTTAAAAGCCAGTTTCAAGACAACTCTCTGACACAAGGTATTTGGCTGTGAAACAGAACACGAGGCATGAGGCGTCGCACGACATCACGTAGCACATTTCTGTTTATTTGCCTTTCTTCAAGAACTCTAACTCACCATTAGGCAAAGGAGTGCATACAAGATGTACAAGAAAAAGATTAAAAGAGGCTTCTTTACCACAGTATTCTGTGGCATAAAGGCCTACAGTCTCTGGTTTTTGTTTTTAAAAGGGTATGGGTTTGCTCTGGCTGAGGTGTTACAGGTCAGAGAACAACCTGCCGTTTACAGGAAATCTCTTGAGAAAATTAAAAGCGAACACAGCTATTAGCTGGGCTGTTTGACTGAACGAACACTGCCAGCTGCACTAACAGCACTGTACCAGACGCTTGTCACTTTGTGAACCTCCAAGTTCATAACAACAACAGTAGATCCGACTGCAGAGGGACAGGGACAGGGAGAAGTGGCTGGAGTTTCTTCTCCCTCGCAGCAGATTCCTGCCTGCTGTAAACTGGTGTTTGTGTACTTCAGTACAGCTGCGATGACCTGCAACAGAGGCTCTACCCTAGACGCAAACACCATGCCCACAGTCCGGCTCAATGCGACAGGAACTTCCACAGAGAATATTAAAAGCCGAGGTTTGTCTCCCAGTGTCCTTCACATGATGCTCTGTCTGTTGACGTCCACGTTGTACGCCGATGAACTGGAACAGCTTCGGCCAAAATCAATAAAAATGCCTTCAGAATCAGAGTCGATGGACTCCAAAATCTGATCCACTATGTTCTCAGGGCTGGAAGAGGGAACTGGAATCAAGGAAGGGTCCCTGTCCAGCTCAAAAGACCTATGTGGGTCATCCATTGAGTGGAAGAGTCCTTTCTGTTGCTCAACTGTGCTGAGTTTGCTAGAGCACTGCACTGACCCACTGCTGGGCCTCTCCTGGTCTCCTGACAGCGAGCTTTTCGTGGCTGTCACGGAGCTCTTGGAACCATTGTCCATGATGGTGGTGAGGTTGGAGTACCCCTGCAGCTCCAGACAGGAGGTCATTTCCGAAACGGAGTGCCTTCGGATGCCTGTTCCATTGGCAGCCATGCCCTCGGTTTCATACTCGGCCACTGGCGTCAGCAGTGGATTGTTGTAACTTTTTGACCGCACCACGGGGTTCTTGGCGAGGATGTCACCCGATTTTGAACGCCTGAAGAAACGCTTCTCTGCAAATAGAGAAAGATCCAGAGTAATATCTACCAAATCTCCTACTTTTGTGGTACTAAAAAAGAAAAGTCAATGCCTGAATATTCATGAGCTTTTCTTGGATGACAGAAACCTTTTATAAAAAAATACATTTTGCTGGTTTTGTACATCCACAGGCTTCAGATTTCCTGTATTTCTTCAGCATACTGAAGACCCCAAACCTATCCGTGCAAATAATAGCTGAGATTACCTTATATTCATGTAACTTCAGCAGCTGCTGGAGTGCAAGAGTAAGTATTGGGGGAGACCTGGTGTACAATTGCAAATACTTTCTTCAGACGAGAACAGAAAGTGCCATTCTGTTCTTGTTCAGGCTGTAAAGGTCATCACTAATTTCTAGTAGTTGAATTCTAACTTTTCCACCCATCCTGGGAAAATCAGGTCTCTTCAGATTTGGAGCACAAGGATTACGACGGGCAGTTTTACTAATAATTCTGGAAAACCTTAGATTCAAAGCATTGTTCAGAGACCACGCAAGGAGAGTGCATCAAGAGCGTTTAGAAATGTTAACTGGAGGGCAGTGCCCACAGCAACCTTTTTTTGGGAACAAACCTGCCCTCAATCCAGCAGCGATTGTATGAATGCTGCTGTTAACCAAGAGGGCTCTTTCCAAAGAATGAGCAGAAGGTGGCAGCAAGTCAGCAGAGAGATTCTCCACCAGCCGTTCAGGGTTGGAGTGCTCTCCGGTGGCAGCTAGATCAAAATGACCATCACGCAAACTTTTTGCAGACCTCAGTGCTCAGGCTCACTTGGGCTAAAAAACCTCAAAGGTGGTATGAATAATAGGTCTCACTTTGGAGGTTTTCTTCCTGCTACTCTCACTTCTCCATCCCCATGAAAGGGGGACGGCTGGAGAAGGGAATCAGGTTACACTCTGGAACTCAACCTCAGCCACTGCAAACAAATTGTCTGTTTCAAATCCTGGTGCTGGTGTATGTTTCCCTGCGAACCATGAAATTTCCTTTACAAATGCCGATCTCTTCTAAAATTATATTGTTGCATAATTATGGGCTTACCTGGACATCAATTCTAATCATACGCTGCACTATTGAAAAGCCAGTTGCTGTACTTCAGATTGTATTTTGCAAATGTGTTAGCCTCAGCAGTGAAATCAATTGAGCCAAGTTCACTTTTGGACTTTTTCTTTGTTAGGAGTTTCACCTGGCAAACAGAAAAGGTTCCCTGGGGCTTCCCTGACCCAGGAACTCTGGCTTTTTGGTCACACCAAGACTTGGCTGGAAGGGAGGGCTAGGTGTGCTGGCCAGATGGGGAAGAAAAGAGGTCGGAGGCCTCACCAGTCCCAAGCAGAGATTTATGCACTCAGCTCCCTTAGATCGGGGTTCATTGACCTGTAAGACCTGTTCAGGGGTACTGCTGAAGATCTAAACCCCAGACCACAGCAAGGAGAAGCACCTGGTCCACCAAAACCTTCCTACCTTCTGCAGTCATGTAACACAACATTTATTTTCTAACAGACCATTTCATTGGAGTTTTATTCTCTTTGGATGCATTTTTTCTGTCCTGACATACAAAACCTTGTGTTCAGAAAAACATCAATTTGGGGTTCCATTTAAATGCTTGTGGCCTTTTAACAGGAAGCAGTGAATACACGGTAGTAATCCGGAACCATTTTCCATAAATAACTGGCCTCTATTCATTCAGGTAAAAGTGATTTGTTTCTTAAACACCTACTGCAATACAACCATTTTTCCATTCAGCTTCAAGGGAAAATCAACTACCTTATTGACCATTTCTGACCGGCAAACAGATTGAATTGACTGCATGGGAAATACACAACTGAACTTACTTTCCCCTCTGTTGTCCCTATTCAAGGAGGCCATCACCGTATTTACATTAAAAATACTCAGGTACTACCACATTTCCTTTTTTATTTACGCTGGTAGTATCCCCTTTACATTTTCAGCAGATGGATTTGCTCTGTGGGATATTCAAAAGTCCTTCATTTTGGCTGAATCTTGCCTTCACGGGAGTCACTGAAAGTTTCAGAGCTCAAAGAATCACAGAAAATAAGATGGACAGGACTCAAGAGGTCACTCACTCAGCCTCTGCCACTAGGCAGGCCCACGTTTACGCACCTTGCTCCTCATGGATGCCTACGTATGTGATGTATACAGTGCCTCTAGCAGTGAAGACTCAACAGCCTCCAGAGGCGCTTGAGGTGACATTACAGATTTGTAATCTGAATTTCCCCTGCTACGTGTGGTCCCCTCTCTTCCTAGTACTGGCAGTCTCCTCTCGTGCGGGCCCTGGCCCGGTACGGACCAAGGTTTTGGTGAAGGGCCCTGGGCTGGGTCAAACTGAGCCTCTCTTGTTCTTACCCAAGATACAGGAAGAGTGTGTGAAGGGTCCGTCACTGGAATACAGACCGTATGTGCCCAAGTAAGGAGAAACGACTTTCTGGATCAGGGATTCCAGTTTCAAATAATCTTCAGTCACACCTTTCGACTCGTGAACCCCCTGAAAGAGAGAAAACACCCAGCATGAGCATTGTCCCCTCCAACCACAAGCTTTCCTTCCTCACCGGGGCAAGCAGAGACGCAGCAAGTATTTTCACCAAGTTTTACAGCCAGGGTGCACCGTGATGCGATACTGGTTTGTTACTGCAGCTGGTTCCTCACGCTGTGAAGCCAAGAAACGGGAGTTGAACCAGAGAGACTCACCATGCGGGCACTGCACAAACGCCAGGGAAGAGGCAGGAGCTCCTTCCAGGACATTTAAATCCGGAAAAGCACATCCTGCTTAGTGCAAAGGCACTCAGGGAGGATGGAGGATGCGGTCTGTGAAGATGAATTAAAACCAGCCCTGGGCTTTCTGTTACTGCAATCTGACACTGACTTCCTGAAAGAACCAACGCTGACTGCTGCACCAGCGGCTGGTACCACAGGGTGTCACTGCCATCCCAGCTATATGTCAACAAAAAGGTGCAACTGAGACTCTCAGAAATAGTTCTGCTGGGATATTTTCAACAGGAAATATTAATAGTGAAGAGGTTTGTATCTCTCTCCTCACCCACTCCCTGGCACCTGCCGTTATCCAGGTGAAAGTCACATTATGACTAGCATGGTAAGATTCACCCATAGGCAAAATCTTTTGCCCGTAGCTGTTAACTCTGCACTGCCACCCACAAGTGGGCTCTTCAGGCTGCAGAGGTGACAGGATAACCCTGTGGAGCTGCAGAGTCCCGTCCCATTACAGCTGCAGCACGCCTGCTCCTGCGTTGTCTGAGAAGAGCCCTGCGTGCTCACGTGTGGGATTCCTCTTGCAACCCAAAGCAGATTCACATTTTAGTGTGAACATATGGCCGTATGTTTGACATACCCTGTTGCACAATTAAGATCCTAAATGTCACACTCAAAAATTTGCTTGAATTTAGCAGAATTCCAGCTTGTCCCTGAATTACTGTAAAAAGAAACACGTTGGGATGAAAGCCTTGGGAGAGCTGTATGCAGGTGAAATGAGTAAAACTGCAACACTTCCTGCAGCATGGGAAAGGATCCTGACGTTGAGGATGTGTTCGCTGCTCAGTATGAATCACCAGTGTCTGCGGGTGACTGCCAGCCTGCAACGTGTCTGTGAATGACTGCCTTCACCGCCGGGCTGCTGCGCTGCCTGAATGCCGCCTGGCGTTCCTTCATGAAAGTTTATGAATGGAAAACAAATAATGGCCAACAGAGAATGGATAGAATCTGGATTCCAGTTCAGCGGGTTTTAAACAACGAATAACACTCTTTGGAGATGGGCTGTGTCCTGTAAAACTCTGTGGGGGTCACAAATACGAAGACAAGGGCATAAGCAGTGAACCTGAAAGCTTGCAGGACACCAAAGAAACAGCAGAATGAGCCCACAGCTATTCAACCAATTTAAACCAAACAAAAATAACACAGGAATAATTGAGAATACTTAGGGAAGGTGCAGGTGTTACTTCCAAGTCATTCTCAGCCTGTATCAAAGTTTCAAATAACAGAAGGAAGGGTAAACGATTTTTATCTGCTCCAGGGTTTTCCCTCCTGTCTTGTGGGATTTAGCCAAGATCTTTTCAGCCCCCAGAAGGGCAACATGCCTACCACCTCACTACATATTCACGATCACATCAAGCTCATGACCCACCGGCAAAGGCCAGTGCGTTAGCCCATCCGCGCCAGGTTCCCACACCAGTTACCTCCAAACCGGTCTCCTAAATGAGATATATAATACTGGTGGCAAAAGCCAGTGATACTTAGCATTGCTCATGCCCACACTTGGTGGTAAGGCTTTATTTACTTTTCTGCCATTTAATTATTTTTTATATTTGTGAAAGAGGGTAGCTAAATATCAGCTGTGGAGAATGAAACTCAGTCATTCCCTGGTACCACACTGCCCACAACATAACTCTTACCACTAGCAGAACTGTGACACCGTCTGAGTGGTAAAAGCACTCTTGCCCAGTGGCACCTTAACACTGTGTGATTTCCTACTGGCCTTACGTGCCTGAAAACTGCGTTTGGTTTCCCTCCTGGTTGTGACGTATCCGTTCTGCTTACACTTCTTCTTCCCTGACGAACACCTCAGAAGCCCGAGCTGTATTCTGCACTGACTGCTGCTCTGGCAGGGTACAAGGAGGCTTCCAGCAGCTCTTTTGGGTTGGGGTAGGCTCCTGGGGTGAGCTGAGGGGATGGAGACTCGACACCCAAGCTCCAGCTGCTGTGACACCCCTCCACCGCAGGGCTGGGAGCAGCTGTGAGGGGCACAGATCTGCCTTGTGCCCCCACCACTGCTGCTCTGCAGCTGCTGTGCCTGGAGAGCCCCTTGGCTCACTGCTCCCAAGCAGGAGACTCCCTCAAAATTCCAACTCAAGCACTTCTTGAGTCTTGCCCTCAACCTTCATCCCTGCTCCCCCAGGAGCAGTGCAAATCTCCCTGACTTTTCACTTCAGCCTCTTTTAGTGCCGACTTTTGAGGCGAAGAAGCCACAAAATGCCACCTTCACAGTGTAAACCCACCCAGTTTTAACACAGCCTGTCACAAGGCTGACGGCTCAGCTCCGCCACCATCCATGGGATGCTTTTCAAAACATGCTGAAGAGTCATAAACCATCCAGCATCCGCTGGAGCCGCTGAGGCTTGTCTTCTGCTCTTCACCTTGGCACAAACGTGCCGTATCCACCTGCAACATCCTTCCTGTGCTGGCCATTGTTCCAGGCCTTCCTGCAGGCGCTCGATGGGGCAGCTCCCTCAATCCATTCTCTCCGTGTGGAGCTTCTGTGAGACCAGGAGCGTAACAGGCTGCAGACCATGTCCTGAGCTTGTGAGAGTGTTCTTCCTGCATTTCTTTCTGCTGTGTTATTCAGTGACAAACATCCTCCGGGCCTCTATTTAACCGAATACAAGTACATCCCAGGATTCAGCAAAGGCTATCACAGCTTTCCAAACCTAAACTCTCCATATGACTTGAACACCGCCATCACTTATTTAGGGATTACCCCAGCCCGAGTGGCCCAGAGGAGTGTCTGCAGGCTCAGAGCAAGCTGGGGCCACCTCTGCCTGGCCGCAGCCCCTGCCCAGGGGCAGAGGCCCCACGCTGCAGTCACTGCATGCCACTCACGAAGCCAAATGTTCCCTGATCCAGAGCCAGCTGGGCCTTGCTGCAGCTGTGTCAACACGACATGGCTGGGAGGTGCCCCGGCACCAGGGTCTAGACTGTAGGCCGCCAAAGTTTGGGTCACAGGGTGTAAGGCAGCCCCTTGCTTCTCTTCATGAGCTTTAAAGATCATGGCCCAGGGAGAAGGTAGCTGCAGGTTCACGAATCAGCCCCACAACAGGTTAGCTGAGATTGCCCCACAACCCTATCAAGAATGTGGGGCCCACAGCAGCAGGGGCTGCAGGAGCCAGCAGATCCCATGGCCCTGGGGGGGGCTGCAGAGCCCCAGCTTTTTCTGCCTGACATTAGTATCCAGCATAGCTGTATTAGAGAAAGGGTCTGAAACGGTGACTGACGTGCCAATTTTTGCAGTGTGCAAGCCTCACTTCAGAGGGTAGTGTAATCTGGGACCTGGGGCTGAGTGGGACAGGGAGCTGCAAGAGGACGGATGGACACATCCTAGAGCAGATCAGCTTTAGCAGGCTCAGGGAAGCTTCTGTTTTGCTGTAGCTGCCAGCCCCAAGGCTGTATGTTAAGTTCTCTCTGACAGAGATTTCCACTCCATCCATTGTGCCACGTGCGAAATCACTTGTTTGTGTGACACCAACTTCAGTGGGAAGGCACTTCTGGTGGAAGTTTAGGATGGAGCAAGGTATGATTATAAATGCTTCATATATCTGTAAGTAAATATAGTTTGAATAGACATCTATGCATCTATCTGCATGGTTATCTATATATGCTTAAAGATATATGAAGTCCTTCTTAGAGCCTTTCCCAAATCTGTAAGTGATTGTGCCTATAAAGGCAAAATTAGCTTTAGAGTAAAGCCAACTTGGGATTGTTATCCATGTCACAATAGTTTCAGTTCCTGAAAAACTGATGGTAGGACTTAAAAGTCACCAATAAAATAATAAAAGAATGTATTTTCCTGTCATTCTGGCAGCTCATGGTTCTTGTACTTACTGCTTGATGCCTTACTAGTTTGGTATGTCAGCATTCAGCAATAACCAAAAATCGTATCTAGCAGGCTGGCTGCTTAGCTTGCAGGAAGCTGCATTGCAATTTGTAGGAAAAAAGAAAGCTTGAAGCATTATCAATAAAAAAGAGACTCTATCCTTATCGTTAATGCAGTATTTTCTCTGCAGACATGCAAAAACTTACTTTAAAAGATAACTGTGACCTTTCATGAACCCAATTTCATTTAGCAGGAAAGTTTCTGCACGTGTGACGTCTATCTATTAAATTCCTTTCAAAGGCCTTTCCTGACCTACTTATTTCTCAGTTGAGGGCCAAAATAGCGTAGTATCAAATAGGTACAAGTACTTCAGTACTTCTGGAACAGTGTAGCTGCTGGATCAAATCCTCACCTTGGTCACACTGGTTAGAAATGGAACAAGAGTCACCTCATTATCTCTGAATGGATTATAATGCAACATTATGCCAAGAGTCTGCCCTCCTCTCAAGGCGTAAATAAGGGGGCTCTGAGTCCTGAATATATGAATATCACTGCAAATTCAAAAGGTATATGCTCAGCATCAAGAACATAACATAGACATTTATTTCGGCATGGCTGGGCTCGATGATCTTAAAGGTCTTCTGCAACCTGAATGATTCTACGTAACACAGTCTCCAACTCCCTTACTTCACTGAACTGTAATTAAAGCATTTAGAAGCAGAGTAGCGTTTGGTACATATGGTACTTCAAAAGCATTACAAGGACCCTACGCACTGCTATTTTTGGTATGTAAATCTGTAAGCACTCCCAGAAGGGCCATATACCCTAAAGACTACGGGTTAGGGAGGTAGCTACACTGCCCCGTCTGCTGAAGCACAGCCCCGGCT